GCTTCAAGTTAGAGTTTACATGGCCACGAAACACCGAGAGGGTAGCTATGCGCGTCCTCCAACTCTGAAGTTCCAAGACGCAACATGACTTATTTTTTCGAATGATTGCACAGACACATGCTTGACACGATTTCAGTTCTGAAACCATTATGCATGTTTGCACACTGAAAAACTGCTGTCCCTGCCAGTAGAAATGCAATGTAATGTGGATGCACTGCCAAAGAATTTACTTCAGAACCGCAAACACAGCACACATGTCAGCAGACTGAAAGGACAAGCGCGGCAAACGTACTAAACGCGCCCTGAATCCAGCTACAGCCAAACGACAGACAAAGTCAGACAAGTACTGCAGGAGACTGCATGAAATCCCACTCCAATCAACCGTCGGGGCGAGTTGCGCAACAATGGGTCAAACTCGTTGGCATCAGGAAGTTTCACAACCTTCTCGGCCACGAATTCGTGCCGCAACGCCTGCATTTTCAGCAGAGAACTAGAACTCCAAGGAAGTCAAGGGCAGGTCAAGGGGATCAGGAGGGCCTCTGCGGCTGTTGGCCGCTGCTTGGCTGAGCGTTTCAGCAACATCTGGCAGAGGCCCAAGGCAGAGAAAACACAAACCAAGAAACTCACCTCAGAGTCACAAAAAGGGCCCCGGGGGCCCCTTAACTTCCGCATCCTGCCTTCGTGAAGTCTAACGCCCCCACCAACGAGCCGGAGACCTGAAGTCACAATGCCGAGTACTCAGCGCGCTTGTGTCCAGGGTATCTTGGTTTCTGGCGACACCCTGGGCATCACCTGCCGAGAAATCAAGGTTTTCGGCGGTGGCCACACATTCAAAGGCCGAAGAACAATCAACTTGACACGAGGGTGAGTGAATCATCGAATTCTCGGTCAGCGGCTCAGAGCAGGAAAATGGAGAGGCGGATGATCCTGAGAGGATCACCGACTGCGCAGATTGATGCGTACTTCATCCTCCAGTGCCACGGGCCTCGATAATGGCCTTCTTCATCGCCGGTGCACTCGCCTGTCATTCGCATGTCATTCGCATGTCCCCGCGGGGCTTAGAACGACACCAGCGCAGCTGCTGCTGTCTCTCAAGCCGACACCGGCTTGAGTTTAGCTGTTCGGAAATATCGGCGTGCTTCCGTGCCGGAAGCTTGACATCAGAGCTAGCAATGCAACCATGAAGGCTTGTCACATGGAAGCTCAATCCGAAACTCATGCGAGAATAAAGGAAACCAGCTTTGCATATCCACCTCAGAAGGCGAGTACGGAAAGCTTCCGAAGACCAGGAGGTAAGCCACGGAGCCTGGAAAACGATTCTGAACACAACAAGGCAGCATGGGAGCCTCAGCCTCACGGCTCAGAAGTCGCGCCTATGGACCAGACGTCTGCCAAGAAGTCGTAGCCTTCGTTCCGCAGCATTTCTGGAGCCATGTAGGGTGCCGTGCCTCGGACATGGAGGCACAAGCTTTGCATAGCTTTGCCATGCTTCGCTTGCTCCGACAGCATTACAGAACCAACGTGACGGCAGCGAATGAGAAGTCCCCATGTGTGCGAAATGCGGCAAGATGAGGAACTGGCCAAACACTCCGCTAAGCTTTCCGGCTTTGGGCATCATCACTGCCAGGCCTCGCCAAGTCGGGTCGAAGCCAAAGTGACAGACAGAGCTTCGTGACCCCTCTACGGGCCCGGGCCGTAATCGCAAAGTTTGAGGATGCTGTTGTTTGGGCCGCCCCAAAGGAAGTTATCAGGCCTTGGTGGGTACTGTCGACGGTATCTGACTGCATGACAGGCACTGTACTTGGAACATGCCATTCCGGGCCCGGCACTTGATGTCCCTGTGGACGATGCCGACTTCCTTATGGCGTCTTGAAAAAGAAGATAGAAGACTTGAAAACCATCTGCAGAAACCTGGTGGTTTTGCATGTCGTAGACTGTCCGCTCAGCAAGAGCAGCAGGAGCAGCTGCAGGAGCAGCAGCAGCCGCCGACAAGCAAGGGCGGATGCTGCAGATGCATACGTATGCAGTTGTGGTTACAGTTGTACTCGTCGTCTTCATGTTGCTCTCTGTCTCTCTGTTGCAATTATCACTGAATTGTGCTTTTCTCTCGATTCTTGGTCCGTGGGCCGCGATTCGACATTTCTGATATATTGCACAAGTCTGTTGATTCAGCAAAGCTCTTGTTGAGTCTCTCCGGGCAGCTGGTTAGTTTGACGATGCTCATCAGTGGTCGGGATGCCAACACCCTGGAGAAAAACGTTGAGGGTGCAAGATCCGCACTGAGTCGGCCACGTGGGTGTGGAAGACCCCCAGAAGCATGTGTCGAAATATCTTCGCCAGGTCAGCTTCCGACATCGACTCGGCCTCCACCTGCTAGGTTTGCAGGATTTAGACTCCGTGAGCCTGAGCCCCAGCTGAGACGAAGGCGAGTCTGTCCATGAAGGAGCACTGACCTCTTTAGCAACGGCCGCTGAGCGACGCTGTGAAGGGCGGCTGGGAAACCAGGAGCAGCACACTTCTCGCAGACCATGTAATACAACGATTTCCTTTGCCATGCTGCGCTGCCAGGATGAAAAAACGACATGCAGAGCTCCATGCTTCCAGCAAGTCCCGAAAAAGATGCCAAGGCCCAAGCTCGGCAAAGCTCTTGTGAAGCTTGACCTCGGAGGTTGGCAATCGGCAAGCCTCTTCAGACTTGCCAAGGACGGCTGAGCCGTCGGCGATGTATTCACAGTCGTTCCCGCTGGCCTAGCATGCTCACATGACTTGAGCAACGGAGGTCTCCCCTGCCCCATGACAGCTCAGCAAGCGATCCTTCGCCCAGAGGTCAACCTCTGTTCGGGTGACTCGGTCACGGCTCTTGCTGACGGCGCCGCTGCCTTGCAACAAGGATTGTGCCAACCTGCTGCAATTTCTCTTCCGCTGGCCCTCTCTTAAGAGCGGCACAAGCACCATGTTCATCACGTTCGCGAACATCCACTATCTTCACCGCGAGCTCCTCAAAAAGAACAAGCGGCGTGCACGCGTCAAAACTAAGGTCGGCATCTGTCCTTTTGCGTGGACCTGTCGACCACGAGGCGGACCTGTCCAAAGGCACCTGCGGCGCTTTTGCGTCGAAAAGACCTTCCGATCGCGGCCGCGGAGAGGTGCCTTCTCCGAGCTTCTTCCCCAGCTTATACTGAGTGAAGAAGTGCCTGCTGGAATGCCACTGTATGCCAATCTGTAGGTTTGAGGATGCCCAAGATATCCCAAAATGATCAACTCGGTGCAAAAACATCACCAAACCTAGCAGGATAAGAATGCCTGTGTTTCTGATATGCTGGGGTGCTTTGAGCAAAAAGCCTGCTATCGGCGGCTCCCCACACCCGAACAAAGACCAAAGTTCCATCTGTTTGGCTACTGTAGTGTTCGTTGAACAGGCCCGAAACGTCCAAAATTCGTTGAAGGATTGATTGGCTGCTGGGGCGGAACCCGAGGTGGCCCGAAACTCAGCAGCATTTGTCATTTGGAGTGAAGCTTCTTACAAGCTCGATTCTAGTGACTGTAGTACTACGACTACTGCAGTACTGCGACTACTGCGATGACTACTCGATACCCTAAACCCTAAACCCTAAACCCGAAAATACTACTCGTATCTTTGTATGCCGTAGGCGTACACCGCCCAGGCTTATGCCTGGACCAGCCCTGGCCTCCCAGGCCGAGCCCGAACCCTCTTTTGCTGACCCTCGCTACAGGTAGGGCTACCCGAGCAAAGCCTACCGGGACCTAAGAAAAAAAGCAAAAAAAATGGATCGAAAGCACAGAGAAACACTAAAGGCCGAACAGTCAAAGCTTTTTGTTCCAACTTTTCGAGACTTGATGCGGTTCTCCACTTATCGAAACCGATCGAAACCAACGCTTGCATGCATATTTAGAGGGGCGAGGGCCGTGTCCTCCTATCCACAAAAACAGGCAGCACAGGAAAACACCAAGCCCGAAACACCCCTTAGGGGGCGGCTCTTGCGGCGCAGGAGTCGCCGCAGTGCTCCCGCAGCATCCTGGCATCGTGTGGCGAGGGCATCTATGTCATGATGTGCAGTCATCGTGGCAGATATGGTGTCTTTGAGTCTTGCAAACCAGACGGCATCACCCATCAGCAGGCGGCGTTAGGTCTGGACAGCGTTTTCAACAGCAAAGATGTCAGAAAAAACAAGCGGCACTACAACAGTCCACAAAACATACCTAGCCTGTCTTTGCAGGTAACTCAGAAAGCTTGTGAATCATGTTGCAGCTTACGCCTTGTGCATGCACAGTGGGTTGAGGGAAGAAGGCAATATCGCCAACATGTGGAGCATCATCAGCTCACATCCGAAGCCAAGACGAGAATCATTGCGGGATATTGCGGGTTCGAAATGCGGCATCCGACTCTGGCATCGCCCTCTGATCTTGTGGTTTGTGGGCAGTCTGTGAGCCCTCCTGGGTTTGCGAGCTTCTTTGCTGTCCGCGGCCGGGAGATGCAACACTCGAGTCGGAGCACCCTTGGGAGGGCTGGCCTTTTGGGGACTTGGCAACGGATGCCTAAGCACCGTGCATCTCTTTCTTTTTCCGGGACCAAGTCATCTTCTGCCCTCTCTGTTATGACTCCATATCCACTGGCTAAGAGGCCTTTCCACTCCTTGCCCGGCTCGTTGGTCCGGCACGCCACAGCTGTTGTAGCTGCCCCGGCTGCCCCGGTATTCTTTGAGCCTGCAACACAGTCGGACAGCGCGCCTCCATTGCTCGCACCAGCTTGATGACTACTCAATGGCCTTGGCTGACGTCTCGGTCACACACTCTTTTTCAAGCCTCTTTCGTGCCCCTTCCCAGAGATGCCCGCGTGGCAAAAAATGAGGAAGGCGGGGACGTCTGCCGCGGAGTGCGCAGCTTACAGCCGACGTTGACTTCTTGCAGATATCGTGCGGCACGCCGGCTGTAAAGCTGCTCTCGGAACTCTGACAGTGGCTGGCTAAATTCTTGGACAGTTTGGTGCTGGTAGAGGTAAGTCGCCTGCTGCTGCCAGGCATCGGCACTGTCCTATGTACATGAAGACTTTTTTCTGCCCGCAACCAGGATATCCTTGGCAGCTGGTCGCAGGCACGTCTTCAGGCTGAGCAGCGCTGGCTTCGCCAGGCTCTGCACATTGACCGTATCTGATTAACCGAAAAGGCCCCTCAGAATGACTGCTTCACATATCTAGGATCATCGTCCTTTGCGTGGCCTGCAACAGAATCACAAAGCCAGGTGAAGTCGCTGTGGCTGTTGGAAGCCTGCTGTCTACGGTGGAGGGGCGCAAGCCGCCACTCCGAGCGCTCAGCGGCAGTGCCTGGGCTCTCGATTTGACTCCGAGCTCACTGTTGACAGGCCACGTCTCTGCATGACAGAAACTGTCCTTTCCAGAGGCAAGCAGCTATTCCTGGAATTGGCCGTGTCGCGCCAGCGGGAGCCGTCCCAAGTCGGTCTGGCGCCTCTCACATCTTCGACGCCCGAACATTGAATGCAGCAAGTTACGCCTGTTTGAGGAGTGTTTAACGAAGCTGAATCGGCCGTTGTCCGGCACAGTGCCTCGTTGGGTATGTGCTGCAGCATCCTGGCACAACCAGATGTTGCTTGGCTGCTTACCCATGTTGATGCACAGTAAACATGATGCGGTGATATTTCACCTGTCTGTGGCCATAGGCATCGTAAGCAAGCTTGCCGGCTCCACATCTTGGGCAGCTTGGAAGAAACAGTCACCACGGGGGCGCCCTGGAGGGCCTCGACTCACAAAAGGCCAGGCGAACTCCGAGGCTGATCAGCTCAAGGCCTTCGAGCTGGATTGGTCCTCGAACCTTGCCTTGCGGGCGGGGCAACATGACACCGGCCTTTAGGAGTACTGCCAGGAGCCTGGATCTGTCGCAGTTCTTTCAGATATTCACTGCGTATCTGATCCAGTCTACCATCGAAGACCTCAGCTCAGCAAGCGTAGCCGGCAGGTTCCCACTTCGCCTCCGGATCCAGCTCATTTCCAGAGCCGGGCACCTCTTTGGTGATCCACTTGTTGCCAGCAACTAGCTGCCGTGCAGCGGCTGCAATCATGACCTGAAGCTGCGCAGAGATATACCCCTAAGGTAAGGAACTAGAGATAGATCACATCCTTTTTCTGAAGCATTTCACAGCTAACGGTGGTCTTTGGTCTTTGGATGCGCCTCAAGCGGCATCAGACGCTGCAACATGAGAGATACATGGCATACCACGAGGGCTGGTCCCGAAGAGATCTCGGCCAGAGTCCACGGAATCATCTCAGTCCCGAGTTCCTTGACTCACAGTACTGAGCTCCAAGCCGTCAAAGCCGAGTCAAAGCCTAAGCCTGCTTGGTCCAAACAACTCCGTTGTTCCAGGTGATTTTGTTGCCATCCAGCTTGCCCTTGAAGCCGAAATAGTCCAGGCCATCCCCTTGGCAAAACTTTCGGACTTCTAGTGTTTGTTTCCCGACGGTTGGGTGGTTGATAACCACCGACTGTCCAGTGCCATCGACGCTGATGTTGATCTCCCCACCAGAGCTGTGCGTCCACTTGCCTTGGGTCTGATAGGGCGAGATGACCGACATGTCCAGCTTTCACAGCGGGCTGGCAGTCTGCAACCTTTCGAGCCAAAACGTATCACGGTCCGACATATCGGCCACATTAAATTTGGCCTCCTGCTGGTGAAAGCACAGGATCTCCGCTCGTGTGCAAAATTTCATGCTTCAGAGTGCCTGACGGCCTGTCTGTTTGTGTTGCAGGTGTCATGGGCTGCAAATGACTAAGCCCATTGATAAGCCCCCCACCTGTACTCGATTCAAGGACAGGGCGGTGCCCTGAAATCGTGTCGAGGGTTTTGTGCGGACTGCGATGTGCAACATAGTTACCACATAGCGGCCTCATCATCCATACCCTCTATGGAGCTGCTCTGGACGTAGACATGCAGCCGGCTGGCGAGCTCGAGATTCTGTTGCCCCTGGCAATCTCAAAGCATCCACTCGGAGTAAGCATGCGCAACATTGCGCAACCACACAACCTTTTCGGGGATCGCCACTCGTTGCAGACGCCTCAGCTTGCCTGGTGCTTTGGGGCACCCGAGCAAACCTTCCCAGGAGCTGAGTGCTTTGCATAGCTCTGTGAAACGCTCTGTGATGCTCTGTGGCACCGCTCCGAGACACTCTAAAGTACAGTCAGCTACGCCTCTTTGGGAACACCTGACCTGGCCAAGCAAGCTTTAGGTAAGCTCGGGAGACGTCAACCATCTAGAGCTCAGACAGCGCACGCTGCTGCAGCGGCACCTTGGACAAGAAGCTTGTCAGATCATCTCTCGTCAACACGCGCGCATCCGACGGTTCTTTTCTTATGCCTGAAGTTTCCCGATTGCCAGCCCTTGCTGCACTCGAGTAGAGCTGCGACAAGCCGGAGTGTTTCGTGTCGTGCGTGTGCGGACCTCACACCATCAAGTATTCTGGGTTGCACGGTAAACCGTAAACTGCATGCTGCTTGTAATGCAAGTATCTTCATCATTTCTACAGCCGGAGCTGCTACTATAATACTAGCAACTGGTGCCGTCTGTATTCTGAGCGTACAAACAGCAATCTGAATCGAGTCCGCGCGACGACTCGAGCTCGCACGCGCCGGATGAGCTCTTCCTGCCATGAAGTTTCAATCTCAAGCTCACCTGCACACGAGGACTTCTACGTCTGCGAGCAGCGACGCGTGCCTGATCCTGAATCAGGCGTGCCTCGCGATGATTGCGGACCACTGAGCGTGTTAGTGTTGGCAGTAACGCATCTCAAAATCCATGAATCCAGCGCAACTGTTTGCCCTCGTCCTACCTTGTCATGTTCCAGGGCAGCAATGGTGGCCTGCAGCTCCTGGGAAAAAAGTACTTGATTGCAGAGCATCCGTTGCTGTTCTCTTGCAGCCTTGTTCTCCCGTTCGGCAGCTTGCAAAGCCTGAACGCATAGGCACGCAAACGCACAGCGCAAGTAGCACAGCTAGTCCCACCAACCGCTGCGAACCTGCGCTGCTGCGTCCGCACCTGCCGGCCAAAAAAGCCAGCCAACCCCAGCAATTCCACAGATTCTGGGGCAGTGACGTGGCGAAGCACTTCGCCTTTCCGCAGCATGCTTAGCATGCGCAGCATGTGGACCATGCGCTGCTTGGGAACCTGAGCAGCGTCCGATAAGTCCGAACAGCTTAACAAGAGTACCTACGGAACTGTGCGAGGAGCTGGGCGTTTGCCGGCTGCAGTCTTCGAGAAAATTGAGCAACTTTGGCCTGCCAGGCACATGGCTAAGCGCGGCAGCTGCAGCAAAGAATCTGTTGTTCACAGCAGGTGGAAGATGCAGCAGAGCTGTTCGTGGCATCCGTTTCCAGCCTCGTCTGCAGCCATTGGGCTTTCTCCTACACAACAAAAAACCATGCCGAACACAGACTGGAGGCATTCTACTCTCGATGTCGTCACGGACCACGGAAGGCGCATAATGCGACAAACCGAATCGAGAATCGCGACACAACACAGATCGGAACCTCCAAGAGCAGGGAGTTCGTCGCCCGAGCCACCGCAAATTCTTCCTTCACGATGCCTGGACGCAGAACGCAAAGACTGCGAAAGGGCGACAGGCCATAGAAACACATCACCACAAACAGGGCCCTGAACGCTCTCTGGCTCTGTGATCTGCAACAAGTCGCTGCAGCTCCTCTGTTCAGAGAGCGGGCCAGCGGATCACATGGTTCTTTTGGTAGGTCTCCTCTTCTGCTCTGGCTAGGCTCTGCGTTTCGAGCTCCATGTCGGCCTGAAAGTAGACATCTCGTCTCCCAGGAAAATTGCAAAAGTCTCCGTCGCCTTTGCATTCAGCAGTTGGCTTTCCAGTCTACTGCGGGTCTCCTGCACGCCAACTCCAGCCATGAATTATGATTGCTTGCAGCTCTGGAAAGCACCTTCAGCTTCGCCGTCTCGTCTCGGCGAGCTGCCCCTGGCCGGGCTACATGTTAGTTTCATGCTATAGGTACCATGGCCGCTAGGTGTATCGCCTGCCCTCCAAGCTTCTGTCCAGCAGTGACCTGTCCAGGTTTGAGATCAATTGGGCCACGGTCACCCGTTGAGCCGTAAGTGGCTCACCCACATGCTTGGCGAGCTTCAGGGTGCTGAACTCCTGGACACCGGCACAGGCTGCCACAATGTGCCCCTGTGCGATATGGCTCTTGTACGGCTGTCCTGGCCAGCCGGCAGCGGCCGCACTGCCAGGTCGCCCAGTCGAGCTCTTAACTCACTGTCAGCCTGCACCCAATTCAAGACGCGTTTGTGCCTTGACTGATAACTCAAGGGGCAGCAGTCTCTGCATACGGATCTGGCCATGTGAATTATTATAATTAGGGAGAATCGGGGTCCACTCTGTCATGATCCCCAGCATCATACAAGACGGGTGCCCGTCAGACCCTGCAATGCAGCTATCTCTTGCGCGTGCCACGCACATGCATGCCAGATGCGCAGATCTTGCAACGCATCCTGGTTGATGCTTGTCATGGACACGCGCTCAGGTGGGAAGGTTTGTTTTGGCAAAAACTACTTGGAAGATTTGCTCCGGCAGGCCGCAAAGGGAGGTCGGAAATTCACGGAATGCCGGGAGCGTGGATGTGAGATGGTGCAATTCCACGGCTGGCTCGGGCTTGGTTCGTCTGTAGCGATGAGCCGATGGAACGTGGATGATGGGTCACGCCTTCGACAATCAGACGAGCGGACCGCCTGGCTTTTGCTACACTCTTTCTTGGTGTTTTGTGTTGATTCGTCCGTGGCCTGGCGAGAGCCGCTAGTTCTGGGATTTGGGCACCTGCACCTGCCGAGCTACAGAAGCTTCCAAGAAAATCTAGCTGATCGCGCCATGCTAGCCTTTTCGTCAAACAAGCCGTGCGTGATGAAACCAAGAAGGCTAAATAACACAACACCAAAAATCACCTGCATTCATCATTGCTGCCTGCCGCCGCTGAAGTTCTTGCTCCCGATGCTCTCGGAGAGTCACACGCCAGCGCGCAGCCTGATGCCATCTATGCACTGACGCTGTAAAATCCAGAGGGGATGAATGCCTCTGTCTGGAAATGCTCAATGGCATTTCGGCTGCCAGCCACCTGCGTTGAGGGCCCGTGCATACTTGCTATACACTTATTCGGTACTCGAGGCATGAAGACCTGCGATGGTGAAGCGCAAGCGCAAAGCAGGGCCTCAGAGACGCAGTTGAGGTACTCCTGACCAAGCAGTGACCAGCAGAAGTCTCCGGCGGTGCAACACACACAGCAACCCGGACTGCTCGCGATGATTTGGGAATCTCTAGAGTCCTGTCGCATCCGTGCGATGCGAGCCCGCAGCCTGCACGAAGATACTAGAAGTCGACTCATCGCACGATCATGCAAAAGCTTGCGCTTGTTCTACGAGGTTGAACAAAAGCCTTTCGCACCTCGTCGACTTTCTCCTTTCGTCTGCAGCCTCCGAGGCACAATAACCCCGCAGCGCAACCAAGACCAAGGAAGGAAATTTGAACAGAGGAAGGCACCTTAGACTCTGCGTGTCTGAGGTCATGATCGAGGCGGGCCTTCGACAATTGCGCAACGGCCCACAGAAAAGAAAACGACCCCCGAGTTTCTGAGCTGGGGTGCAATCTGCTCCTGCAGCTCCTCCTCCTGCCATGGCTCAAGTTTTCCCACGTCTGACGACTACTCCCGAGCAGTTCAAGCACTCGGTTCCGAAGCAAGACTTAGACAACAGTGACTTAGCGCGTCCTCGCTCGAATTTCGGCTTTCAAACTTGTTGTTGGAACAAGGAGGAAAAAGAGGCCACGGGATTTGCACTCGGAAATATCTCGACAAGAGGCCTGCGCGACCACTTTTTTACGGCTTTGAGCGTCCTGTGCTCGTAGTAGGTTTTGGACCCCATGACGAGGACGACGGCCTTACGTGCTCCATGGATAATCCTTGGCGTCTGTGTGCTGTCTGCAGAAACTGCCACTGCTGCTGCCGCTGCTCTTTGGATCTGAGTCATCTGAATTCCAAATCCCTGCAGGGACAGCCGTTGCAAGCAAAGCCGGGTGATCGGAGCGGTGTGCCCTTACTGATTTGTTCGTCTAAACAGACACTTCACAAAGAGAACCCTGCCAGCACTTCCTACGACAGGAGTGGAGGCCGACAATTTTGCCGATAGAAATGCACAACACCTGGGGGTGTCCGGGAATCAGTTGATCAAAACCGTCCGGACCTGAGAAGCTTGAAGACGTTCCTCTTGCTCGATCGGCCTCAAGCAGGCGAGTCCGCTTGTGAATTCGTGACCTCCTGGGGCTGGGTTCCGGAACGCAAGCGGGGCTGCGGAGGAGCTCGATGTTGACCTAATCCCGTCACCAGCTGCCAGAAACCAGAAGCTCGGGCGCTCTCTGCTCTCCGCCCTCCTGGGCCTCAAGCTTCTGTAGCTGCGCCTTCTCCGGGCGTCGTTGAACAAAAAAGGGGGCGCACTTCCAACACTGCACTGCGCATCACTGCGGCCTCCAGGCTCCGCACACGGGCCTCCGAAGACTCCACAGCCTTCCAAAGGCGACGCGCTCGACCTGAGACGTTTTTCTTCTCCACCGGAATGCGCCTTTCACATCGCTCTCAGTGGGAGACCCGTCACTTGAAGCAAGTCCGTCTCAAGCTCTTCAATGGATGCCTCCGCAACGGAACGTAGAAGGCAGACAGGTGCTTCCGGACGATGTGCCAGTGCCTGTGGCATTGACATGCCGGTCCATGATCGGCCAGCGAGTTCCAAGAGGACCTTTCAGCTGGCATTGAAGGGACACGGCCCCGGACAGCCCAGCCCACCCGACTCTCAGAGCGCCACATTCAGGCGCTCCTGCAGTCCCCCCACGGTTTCGTTGCGCACGTCCTCCTGCCCTCCTGGGCCTATAGCCAGAAAAAGCTCTGCCCTGCGTTCGAAGCGTGCAATCACTCCGAGGGCACCTCGAGGGATGTGAGATGACGAAGCTCGGTGCTTCCGAAACGCCTTCGCTGTCTCTTGCAAAGTCTAGAGAGTCTGGGGAATTCCCCCGCTCGACCGGACTCAGAGACCCAGAGATGCTCGGACCGCGGCTGCACAGCTTTCGCCTTCCAGACTTCATGCATCCAAAGTTGAAGATGCTGGCATCTTACAACTTACAGATTGACCTACAGAGAGCTTGTCATCAGGCACCTGCACTGTCGACATCCAACTCTGCTGAAGCCAGCGCGACACTTCCTTCCGAGCGTCAACTGAGACTGTTTGACCATGATCACATGTCATGCTGTGCAGCCTACAGGCGAGCTGATGTGGCGCGCCGCCGTTGCTCCTTCATGCAGGCCAATGCCGATGCCTTGTAAACTGACTCACACAACTTCTATGTTGTCCTCGTATCTCGGTGCTCTGTTTTCTCTTGTGTCTTAAGGTGTCTCATGCTTTCTGTCCTCTTCTGCCCCACCAATCAGAGCAGTGGGAGCCCCTTACCCCTGCACAGGTCTGCGAAAGCGGAAGTTTGCATCATGCTCCTGTCAACTGAGGCCAGAAGTTGGTTGCAATTGACTAAAGAATGAACGAGCATAGCGAATTGTGTCCCCTGCCCGTCGTGCACACCACTGGCTCTTTCTTTCTGTAGGTTCTGAGCCGAAGGGGTCAAAGAATACCTGTCTCTCTCTCGCACGCCCGGATCACTGCACCACCCTTTACCGTGAGCCATGTCCTTGCTCGACGCAATCATGCGGGGCGCTATCCTCGCATCTCTTGGTTCAAAGTTGGATTCACTGCAACAGTCTGGGAGGCCTCATGGGCCGTAGGAGCCGTGGAAAGCTCGCTGGGCGATCCTTGCACCTGCAGCGTCGGACATCCAAAACTAAGAGACTTGCATATGTGTTCCGAGACACGTCCATCAGCGTTCCTTGCCTTGTGTCCCATGCGGATGGGACCCTCGGAGATCTCCTCGATGTTCCGGGATCCAAGGCAGTCAAACTCCGAGATGGCGCAGTCTGCAGGCTATGGCAGCGGCGAGAGGCCGTGGGCGGCGGGCGTACGGTAGGCAAGGGTCGGGATCTGCCAGGAAAGAAGCATCAGCGTGCTGCGCGTACCTACGGATGTCAGGCCTCCAAAGGCACGTGAGACTGACCCGTGCGGAAACCTCAGCTCTGTGTCCACGACAGAGCCATCTTTGGTGTCTTAGGCCTTCTCGGCAAGCTGCGATCGTGCCTCAGTTCCCTGTAGAAAAAACCTTCCGGAGCACCCTTCACTCCCCGTTTTCCACGCAGCAGAGCCACGACACAGTCTTTCGCAGGTGCGCGAGGATCAATCTGTGATCACACAGGATCAAACTGTGAAGAAGGGACGAAAAGTCAGGCACTGCAACTGCGAAGCTCAAGAACATTGAGTCGGAGATTATTCAGAGCTGTACAGGGGAAGACGTTGTTGCCCCTGGACTCCCTGACTGACTCACCGAGTCCTTTGCAATGAGCCGCTCCGGTAAACATGCACTCCAGTTCTCCACTGCAAGCACTAAGCAGTGGCGAAATAATACTTTCTTGCCAAGTTCTGATTCTGGGGCAGCCGAGGATTGAGCACCATCAGATCCAGCAGGTAGCTCTTCTTGCGTTCTATGTGCTTGAAAGCACCATCGCTGTCTGGCTCAAGTTCGTAGAACACGAAGTGAGGTGGCCAATGGTCCAAGAAGGTTCTGAAAGGCAGCGAAGCTGGAATCAGCGGAACAAGGTCCGTCAAGGCCCCCTTGCAGCAAAAGGCAGGCCGAATTCGCGAAGCCCTTCTTCGAAGCTTTGCGGCCTAGACACGCCAATGAGATCAATAAATCTGGCAGCGCTCCAGAAGCAAAAGGTGTAGGTGCGATCGGGATTGATGTTGCATTCCACGTCCTGCATGAAGTCTACAAGCTGCTGGATCTGATTGCAGAGTTGTAAGGAGACGAAACATCTCCTCTGCAGCCGCAGCCCAGGAAGATGAACTGCTCGCACCGTGCCTGATGCACTGGGCAAAGCGGTGCGACAAGCAGAGAAACTCGATGTACTCCCGCCTTCGGATGCCCAGACCATCTAAGTTGCCGTCGATGGCAGGCGGCTCGTCGGCTGCCTCCGTCACGATGATCTGATCGAAGGCCTGGCAGAGTTTAATGCAGCTTCGGTGCAGCATGGCTGCTCATTTCGCACCTGCAGCCCCGCGACCACATGGCTCAGCATGGCATCCTCTTTCAGCGATGCCTGTGAGATGCTCCGACAGCTCCGATTCTCTGGAGAGAAAATTGCATATCTCTCAGAATCCGTGCCTTTCCCCTGTCGCCGAAAGTGAGGACAACTTTTGTCCCTATGGTGTATTCCTGCATGTGTCCGAGAACATGTAATGCCATCGTGGCACTTCGGACTGCACCACTGTGATTTTGGGCTTTTGTGTATGGTCCAGAGGCGATATGGAGAGATTGCTCAACCACGCGGAAAAACCTAAGACAAAATCGCAGGGGTGTCAAAGCCGGTTCGGACAAAGCGACAAGCTCTAATGATAATGCTGGTCGGCAACGGCTGAGAGGCATGTTGTAGTCGAAGTCCCTCAAAACAACCTGGAAGCGTCCGCATGTCTGCTGCAAGCCTCCCGCTTGAAGCTCCAAGCTGTTGAAAAGACATGCATTCCACAAATTGAGCGCCGCACTCCTCCGAACAGCTTTCCAGTCGGCTTGCGTACAAACCGGCCCTGCAACCGCAACTCCCAGCGGCGTGTTTTCTTGGCAAAGTAGTCGTCATAAGCGCTTGGGACTGATGGAGCACCGTTTGCTTGACGATGCATCATGACCAACTTGCCCACGAAGTTGTTGTTGACCTCTGTAGATGCTGGCAACCAGTTTGGAAGGGTGCGAAGCAAGAGCTTCTGTAGTTCTCTATTGATTCTGGTGCCGCCCAGCCACCACAGAGGTGCCACGAGCGTTTATGGGAATCCGGTGAGCAGGCACCAAAGAAGCTCGTTGGCAAGCCTCCATTCTCCTTCTATCGGTGAAACTCGTTGCTTCGTAGAGGATCAAAGGGCTGAGCCCACTGTTGACCTCCTGCCTCAGTTGCTCGCAGTCTTGAACAGCTGAACGAATCCTGGCCCCGGAGGCTCCAGCATTTCCTCGCTCGTCCCCATCCCTTTTCGGAAGATGAGGGAAGGGTCTCAACCCCTGTCCCTCCAAGAAGAAAGATTCTCATAGACGACAAGGTGCCGAAGATGCCGGCGGCTCTCCAGAATCAAGCGCCGCTTCGCTATGTCCAGACTTTGAAGGGGCTCCCCTTCAAGTCCTGCTTCACGGTCCGTCGCAGCAGGGAAACATCCTTGGCTAACCGGAATCTCTCTCTCGCAAAGGCTTGAAGACCGAGACACGGCCCTACTAAGCCCTACTCAGCCATGATACCTGTGCAGGACAAGCAGGAAAACATCCCAGCCCAACATGAAGCTTGCTTGCTTCGTATCCTCTTCTCCTGGGCACGAGGAACAGTCTGCCCTCGCTTCCGAAAGGACAAAGCAGATCCCTCCGCCTCCTCTGCTTCGGCAGCCTCCGCCGCTTCAAGCTCCTTCGTTCAGCTGAAATTGCTTTAGCCCATGGGAGCCATGACTACCCTTTCCTGCTCTTCGCGCAGGATCTCCCTGGCACTGCGCTCGAGTGCACCTGCAGTAGAGCTCGTTCGGAAAGAAGTCTGCTGCTTGCAGACTCCTCTGAGAGTCTCGCCCTCTTCTGCCGGCGCCTGCCAAAACACCACATGCCGTGACATGGTAAGACTGTGAGAGCTGGCGGCGCCTCTGGGGAGGTGAAGGCGTTCTGCACGAGGTTCAAGCAGACCCCCGTAGCGCCGGCAGCTGCCAGCATAACGTGGCCACCAGCAAAGCAGATCACCACACCTGTGGCCTCAAGGAAACAAAGCCAAGGCGGCATAAGACTGCTTTGGGAGGTCTTCCTGCAAGTGAGCCACTGCAACAATGCCGCTCGCTGCAGCATTAGAGTCGGATAAGACCCAGGAGGAAATTCCAAGTGCGCCTCGGCACAAGCACGGCGATCGGGTGAGCCAGGACAGGGTCTGAGTTGCATCAAAGCAACTTCCGACTGGGCCCGCAAGCGCGAGACCGGCCAGGCCAGCAGAAATGGAATTGAAGGAGGCCCAGCCCACCCGGGTGGCGTCGTCAGGCAGGAAGTTGGAAGACTGAGAAGGAGAGGGTCCCAAAACCTCCATGGCCGGCTTGGCACCAGGCAAGCCCTAAAAACTGAGAAAATCGATGATGGGAAGTTTGTTCACCAGCTACAATGCTAGAGCGAGCTGCTGGCTACCTGCTGTGGCACAACGTCTGTTTCGCTGCTTGATGCAACGGCGAGGGCAGCGGAGCGTGGCACATATATCCAACACTGATCATGCGGACGTGCTAAGTTGCAGCATCCTGCAGAATCCTGTGTCAGGATCCAATGGCCCACGTCCCCTCGGGTCTGCACTCACGCGGCGACTCCGTGGCATTCGCAACAAGAGGGTGCCGAGGAACTGCGGAGAACCTAAAGCCACAAGGGGTCTGCGTGGCCCAGAGAATGCGGCAACTCTGCCTGGACATGTGCTGCGTCGTGTCGCCTGCCACGCAAGAGCCAAGAGCATGCTCTCTTGCCTCAGCGATCGCACGGAGCTCCGCCGGCCTTCCGAAACTTCTCTCCCGTCGCTGTCGGTGTCAACCTCGCAGCACGGCAGTACAAAACGTACGAACAGTGCTGCTGGATCTCTTCAAGGACACTGCAACGTCCCGCAACGAACTTCGGTGCCCATCGTCGAGGAACGGCCTGAAAGGCAGATAGCCTGCACTCCATGCCGCAATTGCAACAGCCGTGCTGCCCTGTGGCGCGGACGATGACGAGAGCGACATGGCCTGCGAGCAGCTTGCCCTGCTAGTCTACTTCTGAGGTGTGTGAGAGAGAGGCCTCGAGTCTCTGCAGGAAAGAGTTCCTCATGTGTCTCGCTTGAGACGGCTTGTCCCCCGACCTGCGCCGCCAAGCAGATCCAAGCAGGCTCATTCATTGAAATCGACTGCTCGCCTTCCCCCTTGTGGTGTAGACATGCTGGGGCTAAGCATTACCGCCCCGACCTTGGTCCACTGCACGTCTGGCACTATTGTCGGGAAATCCACTGTGTTCGTGATGGTACAAGAACCTGATACTATACCGTAAGCCGTGGTATGCCAGGACACCTTCATGTAACGAAAGGCGTCATCGGATGATGCGCACGGCTGCGCACTCTGGGTGACATCCCAGTACTCGCAACAAACCAGTTTGACTGCATGGGAAGGAATCCTTTCACGGCATTTCAGCCCCTTTGTTGCACAAACCCCCGAAGTCACATGATGTCAGCATGGAGCTTGTCTGCTTGACTGCATCAGGCTGCGGACCGGGGAACCGCAAGAACGCATCGCCACCGAAAGGCTGACAGATGCTACGGCACGTCAGGCCTGCTCTGCCATCTCATCGATGTGCACCTGCACGGACAGACATAAAGCACAAACCAGAAACACATAAGATTCCCATCCTTTGGGAAGCTACGGCCATCTCGTGCTGAAACGTCGAGACTGTGGGCTGATGACCAGGGGAAGAAGGACCGTCCAAGTGCTAAGCTCTTCCGGTCCGTGATATCACACAGCAGTTGCCGCAGCAGCTGTGGCTCCCTACAGAGAGGATAGGGCATCGAACATTGTGTCGCCTAAACACTTCTTGCAACAGTTATCAAACACGGAGCAAACCTGCCACGCATTTACAGGATTACCGGTTTGTGGGGTCACAAGCAAGTCAGCCCACGATCATCTGAGTTCTGGCGAGCTTGCATCTCAACAGCCGAACTTCCGACATTAGTTTCAATATCCAGCGGCAGCTCGCCACCGGTTTCATGATACGTCGCGCTATGTAAGGGCTGCAAAGAATGAAGAGATCACGAGCATTAGCCTTCTGTTGTTGTCGCACACTTGGCTCAAGCTATCACAGGTTCGCGGCAGTGTCCGGCACTGTCGGATCTGAGCTGCCGGGAGGTCACAGGCCAACATTCATCAGACCCCAACTGTCACACCTTTCGGCGAGGGTTGCTTTCGTCAGCAGGATGGTCCCCATCAGCATCCGAAACAAGGAACTCGCACTGCGCTCTCTGCAACTCGGGTCATGCTGACCGATCTGCCTTGCTGACGGAGATGTCTTGCTTCAGCTTGGCCACAGCCTCCAGCGCTGAAAGCCGGACCGCCCTTAAAACAGATTGCGCCCAGCGGAATGAAATCGGCCTACCTAGCAACAGAGACGGTGAACCGCGACCCTTGTGATACGATTCTTTTGAGCTTCGACAACAAATGACAATGAAGCAGCTTTTTTTCCTGGCAAGCCAAAGCGTTTCGCTGATGATAGAATCTGATCCCGCGAAGTCCCACCCTCCTGCTTCCGGCGTGGAGCAGTTGCGCTGTTTGGGAGTCTTCGACGGCAATCGTTTAATGGATGAGACTTCTGAGCCAAAGACCAAAGATGAATCGATCCCCTCATTCGCAAATCAAAACCAGCAATCACTTTCGGACCTTTCGGGGTTGGTTGGCTACTTTCCAATGCTACAAAATCACATGCATGGTGAATCATGGTGAAACTCCGTTGCATACAGTTTAAGCATCTGAATTCACACACCAATTCCTACCTACTGTCTCTACGAACCATTAAGCAAGCAAACTATGCAGCTTCTACAAAACAAGCCCTTCGACATAGAAGACTACAGGGTTAGACCGATTGGATTCCTGTGCATGTGCTGTTACCATAGCTCACTCACTGAAGATCAATAAACGCATCGATCTCGTCCCATCACGATGCATGGCAGAGCAACTACCCATGAAAATTTAAGCGAGCACAGAGGCGTTTGCTAATGATGTTCCTGCGCGGATTGCTCTCAAGCAAGACCGGAAGGCATTCCGCAAATGCTTTTCCGAATCTGTATCCGTGCAATTTCATTGAAATTCACAGCTTGGGTCATGAACTGTACACATTTCTGAACTGTTCAATCTGCTTGAACTCGTCAGCAGGGTCTTGACCCCTTGAGCCATTTACACAGGCTGAGTCAGCTAGTTACATAAGCAACTTATGTAAGCGTAGCAAAACATGCAAGCAAATCGCACTACTTTTGGGACCAATCAAAACACAGTGCCAAGGCACTTTTTGAAGCTGTGTTAAATGTGGAGAAGACTAAAGAAAATTTACCACGGGTTTCTCTTATTGCACATATGTACATATGCATACATATTGAAATAAACATACATATACATGCTTGCCCCCCCCTATCCCTAAAATCTACTGTACCGGAATTTGCTGCTGCCCGTTTGTTTTTCAGATTGCCAGACCTCCGACTTTGTCACATGGTTCACTACGCAGTGCTAACAAAAAGTTGCTTCGAACTGGGAACGGCAAATGTGCTCCATACAAACCCTTGCAGGGACCCGGATTTGGGCGGCCTGGCGGGGTCTTTGTTGTTGTGAGCCCGAACCGGGACGGGCACTTGAAGATGCCCCTTGTGCATGGTATGCCAACAATAGCAATAGTACTAGACAAAACAGCAAGCATAGTACTAAGGCGATTCCTACAATGTGAAACCTGGGCCAGGCAACAGTCTAGCAGCTATCAGCTATCAGCTATCGCAGTGCAGCCAAGTTGCATCTGTCATCGCCGTCAGCTCCTCACCCACAGAGTGCAGAGCCGCCTCGGAAGCTTCAGCGAATGACAAAGCTACGCCAGCTGCCTGCCCATCGGAAAGGAAGTTGCAGATCATTAGCACTGGCCTCCTGCATCTCAGAAGACTGAAAGCTGCCGGTGTGCTTGTGGGCTGGCGATTCATTCCGAGGCATCAATTCCTGCAGTGTGTTCTGTCTCGCAGCTGCACCGCAAGTCAACAACTTTGCACGACCTTCTGAGGACGTCCATCGGCTAAAGCATCGATCTTCTTTTCCAAAACCATGATCTTGTCCTCTTCCGACACAGATCATGGATTGCTACACGTATACAGTAGAGCCGTACTGCACAAAAACGAGCGGCATGACAGGCCTCAAGATTCAGAATGATGCGTCTGACCACCGCATTGATCTCCTGAGAAGTCGTGCTTCCGCTTCCGCGCTGCTAAAGCCCTTGCTGAAAGACCAGATCGAAAAGACGAGCACACTTCCCCACGACTGGCAGTGTTGTCCTGACCACCGCCGTCCCCAAGAATGCGCCGGTTGTCTTTGATCGACTGCTCGAGCTTAACAACCTTCGAGAGACCAACATCCAAAAGAACCTCAGAGGCCCCGTGGTCAACGGCAGCAGGATCAGGCACCTTGTCCGTAACTGCGGCGAGATCGGGAATCTCGACCTGTCAAAGAGAAAGACGAGAGGGCACAATGGCGCAAAACACCAAACTATCCGATCAGTCTTCGCTAGACTCGTGCCTTCTGTTTATGGAGGACCGTGATCGAGTTCTGCGTGGTGGTTTTCACCTCATCGCAGATGTGCTTTTTCTTGTACGAGACGTGATAGTTGATGGACGTACAAACCGGCTTCAGTGTCACAATTGCAGAACGAAATTTGCAGCCAAACTGCGGATTGCGAACGGAGTGCAGACACGTAGAAAGTATTGCTTCACTCGTAGGAGTGTTCAAATTTATGCATCATCTCCGTGCCATTCCACAGCAACGCCGCTGTGGAATCCGTTGACGCTCGCTCTTCTCGCGCTTGCGGAATTGAGAAGCTATCAGTCGTAGGTATGTTGGCCCCAAGATCAAGTACAAGCACCCGCGGATGCCTCCTGAAGTTCGTGGATGAACTTGCGGTTGGAATTGTACATCGATGCCTCCGTGTGACGGCACGAAGTAGCGCGGAGTGTTGGACAAACTGTGATGAGCAAAGTCTAAGCTACCAGCCGAAGCTTCCTTGAGCTCGACCTCAATAGGAATCGAAGGATTACAATCATTGTCGTTGCTTGAACACTGGGCGCCTTCATGGCTTGGTGGTCGGACATGAGCTGCTCAAACCCGTTCTGCACCTGCAGAAGGATTCGTGGCTGCAACAACCACTAAACATATTATTGGGGAATAATATTTTTCCACAATATAATATGTTCAGCAACAGCCCAGACTGCGACAGTGCTGAGCGCCTTTGTCAGCTCCGAGCGCGGAGCGGCTACGGATTCGACCTGCGAAACGGCAGCAGAGGAAAAAATGGGCCCCAGAACCATCGGAAAAAACATCGGAGAAACATCAGCAAACCAGCCTTGAAGACCTTCTCCCTGAGCTCCGTTACATTCTGCGCAGTGAACTTGGTGTCACCCTGAGACAGCACGAAAGCTTTCCTCTCCCCGGACCCCAGAGAAATACGCGAAGCCCCTTGGGACCACCTCGAGAGCCTCGATGCGGATCTTCAGATCTGCGGCGACTTTCCAACATGTCGGCACTGCTTTGCTTTGCCCGAGCTCGTTCCTTCTTTTTGCCCCCCTAAGTTGGACTCTGTGAAAAAGGCGGCGCCTGGAATGTTCAGCTTCTCAATGGCCCCCAGTCGCCTCAGATAATAATTAGAATAGGGGTTCGGGGTATAGTATATTGTAACTATAATAAGGACCCCAAAACAGTATAGGCCAGACGGAGCATGGCAAAGCCCTGGAGCAAGGCACAAGGTGGGGCCGAAGACTGGGCAGCTCGCGAGACCACCAGCTGAAGATCTTCCTTATCCACCTTCCGCACGTGGTCCACGTCCTTCACACACTTGCTAGCTCGCGAGTTTCCTCTCCATGGGTTTCTTTCACTTCTGCATCTTCCTGCGCCCTCTTCATGTTGAAAAGCTCGGTGCCAAGCCTCTCGGGGCTGAGAACAGACTATCGGACTGTCGAGCCGTATCCCATTGTATCCCGGTGCCTCTCGAGGCGCTCTTCAAAGTGCATCAGCTGAGGTGCTGCGACCTCCAAAGCGTTGCAGGCATCCCGGGCCACAAGCCGCAGCTTCGAGATGCAGTAGCAACAGCTGAGTTTCCAACTCCTTCCTCTAGACCTCCCATCCCCATGCTCATGCTCAAGAGGCCATCCAGGGAAAGAGAGTCCCGAAAGCTTGACACCGCCTGCCGGCAGGGGTCAGAAGCTTGAATCCGCCAGTCTGAACCTTCGATGCCAAGCGGCCATCGAGCTCCGAACTGGAAGGCTGCCAACCCCGATTCCTCCACCTTGCAGCCACCTCAGGCGATATGCGTGAACTTTCAGAGCGTTTCGAAATGGATGCGACACTTTTCTGTTCTTTGGGCTTGCGCTGCACCACTTTGGTTTCAAAGTCTTCGCGATCGCTGTCGAACCTGGCGCAAACGTCTTTCTACAGACACGCCGAATTGACGTAACACGCGATAATCAGCCAGAGGGACTGTTGCAGGCACATGGCAAGATCTCTGCCCATCTCGTCTCTGGGTTTGTAGCACCAACTCCACCTGAAAAAGATGTGATGACATGTAGGATGCATCGTGGTCGACTTGCATCATGTCATGTTATAACAGAAAACCAACCAACTGACATATCAGAGGACGAATACGAAAAATCAGGATAGAATAGTAAGGACAGCAAGCACAACCACGATCACGAAAACAACGACAACAAAGGCCGCAATCGTGGCAGGTCAGTGACTCTCGGCAGATGCAGACCGCGCAAACATGCACCCTCATTCGGACGTCCCGAAGCAGAACAAATTGGGTCTCTCCCACTGACACGAGTCTTTCAAGTTCTGAACGGTAACACCGCGCGAAACTCGATAGGCCTGTCCCTCATATGCGACAGTACACAAGTTCAGCAAGCCAGCAATGCTCCGAACTGCTGACTGAGTGATGCTTGCATCTCATGCTGTTTGTACATGCAACCTGCACTGATCCTTAATATCACCCTTGACATTAGTGCTGCTACTGTTGCTTGCGGGAATGCTGCAACTACATGCTTCACATGAACGGTAGTACTAACATTGGACGGAGACTGGAGTGATTTCAATAAACCATAGTCATCATCATCGCGCATGCTGCATGCTCACGCCTTCATTTCACTAGACCCTGGGTCTACTTACAACAAGTGCAGCTGGTTAGTGCATGTGCCCGTGTGTCTGTATGTTCATCGGACATTTTTTTGATTCAGCGCAGCATGCAACCTCGAAGTCGCCCCTTATACAGGCGTGTTCTGTCTTTTGAGCGAGTGTTGAGTGCCTTTCGCAACTGCGGTGGTCTACAGTCCCTGCTTGAAGAAAACTTAAGCTTCATCTCCCCACCCCCGACCTCAAAACATGATTGGAAGATTTTCCTGTCGGAACGGATAATCGCTTTGTCGATTGGCGAGAAAGGTTGTCTCTGCTGCACGACTGAGTGGAATTCCAGACCTCTGCCCTGCGTGAAGGCATTGACCGAGTCTCTTGCTTGATGTCTGCCTCACCGACTAACTGCCAGGGCAGCCGACTATCGTCTTCGACGTGGAAAGTGCGCGTCCTTGGCCCCGCAACACATCCGATCGACCTCGCAAGATCCTCTGATCAAACGAGGGCTGGGCTCCACATGATCTGAAAAGTTGACGTGCTTCTTGCTCTCGTGTGGCCTTTCCTGGGTCCAGCACAGCCCTCGGAGTGGGTTGGAGGATTACACCTCTGGGTCTCAAGCACTCTTTACAATTTCCACCTCCTCCTTGGCTTTGCGTCAGCTGGCGGCTGCATTTAAGGCATGTTAATGCTGCTGTCTCCTCCGGATCTGGAAACAGCTGTTTCTGCAGCATCCTGCGTCCACATTGGCTGACAGCCGGAACAACTCTCAGGGAAACATAGCACCAAGCAGCCGTGCCTCCGCAGTCTCCGCGGAAGGAGTTCCAGAAACGAAAGCAACGTCTGGTTGACAGACTGCCAAGCATGAGCCAAGCGCACACGAGTTTGGAACTGAATATCCAAAAAGCCGCCATGCCGGCTGGCTCTGAAAACACTACGTTAGACCAAGCATGCTGCTCAGAATCGATGAAGTGCCTCGATGTCTGCCTTGACCTCCGCCATTCCTCGATTGACCTACAACGCTGGCAGCTTGCGTGACGGGAAAGGTCTGACGGACAGTGCCGTGAAACCTGACTCTCTGTACCCATACTTGCTCCCTCCCGAACTTATGGTCTTTGGAACAGAATGGATGGGCAAAGCTCGGATCTCCGTGTTGGAAGAAGCCTTAGGGTTTGGACCTGTCCCTCCCACTGCACTGGGCAGCTCCTATCGACCGGGCCTGGCCGTCGAGTTCCAGGAGCTTCTTGCCCAAGCGAGCAATGCGCGAGGAGTTCACTTCGTCCTCTGCAAAGGACGAAGTCACTTTACAACGACGGGAATCGATTCTGGGGAGACTGCCGATGAGTCGGGCATGTGCCCGGCATCTCCACCTCCACTCGTGTCCTGCTGCCCTGTGCGCTCCATCTGCCTGGCTCATGCTTGGATGCTCATGGAAGCGTCTCTAGGCCTCCATCCGCCCCGATCTCCCCAGAAGGTATGGCGTTGTATTTCAATCCCGGGCCATCGTTGGTGGATGCCGACAGCACGAAGCAGACATCGCACGGAAGCCTCGATGGCAATGTGGCTCCAGCCTGTCACGGAATAACTGAAAGCCGACGGAACTGGTTTTGGCAGACATGTTCAACCTTCAACTTGGGCTTCTTGTCTTTGTCCGCCCCGGCAGATACGATGGCTTGGAAGGAGCCTGGGAGCAGTGCACATGTCATGGTGTAAGCTGCACATGGAACTGCGCGGCTTGCCCGAATCTGCTCTCTCCTGGTTCAAAGCAGCCCCATGCCTCGGATAAGTCAGTTTCACTCAGATGATGTCCGCACTGTTTGTCACTGTTTTCACTGGTGTCTGAGGCCAAGAGCACCAGAAGGTAGTCCAGTCGAGACTGCTGATAGACCACCTCTGGCGGATATCCGTTAGAAGCTCGCATCCCCATCGCACACCGAAGCATACTTACAGCACCACAGCGGCAAGAGCCTGGTCTACGATGTTGCTGACCTGACATTGCGATCACTGGGATCCTGCAATTCCAACGTGAGATGCCATGCCACATGACACACCCGCTGAGTGCTTCGGACCTCCGTCTGCAGACGCTTCAGCCTCTCAACTGCAAAGTTGGCCTGGCACAAACCGGGACCTTCATGAGTTTACCTTCTGCGCCTTGCTTGTCACATTCTCAAAGCAGGCTTCATGCAACTACCCCCCAAGATCCGAGTAGGCTCAGCAAGATGTCGGTTGCCTTCTTCGGCCTAGCCCCTCGCCATCACACCCTACACTTCTGATCTCTTCTTTGAGGAACCATGCACAATGCACAATTGTGCATTTTGTCTCATGCCATTTCTTTGCATTTTAAATGTTGTCCGACTGGCAGCTACCATCCATTCCCAGTGTGTTGAAAAGCCTTACTGGACAAGTGCCGAATTGTCTGCACGAGCCTTCCCAAGACCTGATCTGCTCCAACAGAATCAACGTTATCCATAGGCAGCTGAATGCCTGTTCAGAGTGTTCAGAGTCTCCTGGAGCCTTCCTCTCTCTGATACGTCGGTTACCATGTTCATCTGCAATGCTCCTGAAGCTGACATCCGCTGCGCCAGAACCACGAAACACTGCACCCCTTAAACGGCTGCTGCGCTTTGACTGCTGAAACCCTGAAAGCTTCAAACAAAAAGACGAGAAAACAGCAAGAACGGAAGCCAGGTTCAGAAGTCCTGAAGCCAGGCAGCACGGAGGCCCCGCCCCGTCGGACACCCCTTGCTCAAAATGCCATCTGGCTTAAAGGTATGAATCACAGCAAGTACCAGTACATCAAGGTGTCATGTGGCACAGACCTTCACCGGAAAAGGGAAGAAACCCTCTCCCGGACCAGCCCCATGCGGATCAGTTCCGTGAGGCCTGACCCTCGGCGTGCTTGTGAGCTGACCGGAGCCCAGCGATCTTCAACATGCCTCGGAGAAGCTCGGAAAACGACTCACCCTCTTTTTTTGGGATCCGCTCAGGGCTCCAAGCTCTGCTGTTGGCTGTCCTGCAACCTCTTCAGCTTGTCCTCTATCTCCTGCCCAGATGCCCCATTGAGGACATTTGAATGTGGTGTCTCTGCTACGAAGTCGAGGTTCCTCAACGCATTCGATGCAGAATGTCCTGTGTGTCCTTTGCGGCTAGCCCTTCGCCGCTCCTTACATGAACGCCATGGACATTACTGAGGGTAGCACCGCAGACGGCCCAGGGTGTCTGACAAAGCGAGGAGTTTCTCCTCGATGAGTTGTTGTCAGGATGCTGGCAAGTCTGGAAACGTGCATGGAAGAGGTGAACACCCTCGTGCCTGATCGCGCACGTCAAGATTGGAGAGCAGTGCTGCGTTCAACTTCTTGTCAAACTCGCTCCGCACCGACCTTTCAGCAACACCCACTCCAAGTCGCACCTCATCTACACTTCTATGCCTCATTTCATTGCTGACGACGCTCAAGATAACGTCGACCTGCGCACTTCACACTGCACTCGTCCCTAAACCCCTGAAGCTTGCGAGGCTTGCATCAGCACAAGATCTCTGTTTCCGAAGCCTTCAAAGTCGCCAAACTGCGCTCCAAAGGCGGAAAAACACTAACGACAGTGTGCTATGTTCGTCAGCTGGTACTGCGAGCACTCAGCGGTGTCTGAGTGCTCTTTCTCGATCACTTGCTTCTCCTCTCAAGCAGTGCCTGGCGAAAGCTTTGAAAGCAGAATCCTGCCAGCAGCAAGACAGATGCTGCCTCCTCCTCCTTCTCCCGGGCCATTACCTGTGGACCAACATTAGTCCATGAACATGTAGCGGTGTAGCGCTTGACCACGCAATGTCTGGGACGAGAACCCTTTCGCCCAGCATGATGCTCATCACCAGAGCATCGTGCTCTACCTCAGGGCCAGTCGAAACCTTGCTTGATTTTGCCAAGGTGGGCAAGCTGCACCTCGTCCACTTGATGCTGTAGGAAGTTCACGCTGTCTGGCAGTCCATCGACGCGCCTGCGCCACTTCCGCAAATTGCCAAGGCAGAACCAAGCCCGCTACACACGTCAGGTTCAGCCTCATGTCCCTTGCCATCAGTCTGGACAGGACGGAGTTGAACTCAGTGTCCTCCGAAGACCTGTGGAAGTCTTTTTCATGCGCATGGAGACCTCCCTCCACGGCCCGGGGGTCAGCCGAGGCTCGACGCGTCGCCGTGCGATTCTCCAACTGCGCTGGCCATGCATGACCTCAGACTCAGAAGCTCGTGCAGTCAAGCAAGGCTGGGACCTCAGATGCAAGTGTTGCCTGACGCCCAAGGCCCTTCCCCAAGGAGGAGGCTCCAGCTTCTGCAGCTCAACCGACCACATGACCAGCTGTGTAAAGAGCTGGAATCGTCTCCTTGCATGCCATCAGATCTTGCAAGAGCCACATGTCACCGGTTGTTCTGAGGACAGTACGGAATCATTGCTTGCAGATCATCCATTTTCTGGAAGGCCTTCATGCTCTTGTTTGTCATGTCCGACACGACGTCGCAGGAAAAGTTAAGACAACGGCTGAATCGGAGAGCGGAAAGACCTGCCCGTGAACCAGTGAGCAAGATCCACTGCACAGACATTTGCAGACTGTGTTTTACGGCCTTCGCGATCTTTTCGCAAAGGTCCTTGGGCTTGAACTCCTCGCATGACATATGACACAAGAGAGCTCCGGATCAACCTTTGCTCTCAAACGTCCTCCCACTTCTCGCCGACAGTGTCTTTGCCCCGAAACAAGGCAAACGTCGGAGTGCCTCTCGAAAGTGAACAACCCCTGCGAAGCCTGCTCCACACGTGTCTCTAGCGCCTCTTGCAACTGGACAGCCATCGGGAAAATCATTCTTCTCAATGTTTAACCTCAACAAGCAGCGTTGACGGTAAACAGCAAGCACGATGCCTGTTGCACAGACTCTTTTCAGGACGCAGGGCCTCTTCAAGCGGAAAGGTGCCTCCGCCGCATGGGACAACATGAAGTTAATATCGCGGCCACCGCTTCACTACCAGATCTGCTGAACAGCTGAATGACCGTGACCTTGTTCTCCAGCAGAAGCTCACCCTGAGATCGATTGAAACGGCAACCGTCCAAGCAAGGAATAGCACCTGCTAGGGTCCCGGCCACAGAGTTAATGAAAGGTCTCATCAAAAAACAAAGGAAGCAGGTGTCCTGTGGCTGTAGGGTCAGGGATTGGTCGCACGAGCGAAACCGAGGCAGTGTTACCAGTCCTCGTACATCTGCAACAACACCATGGGGTTTCCTGGTTGGCTGTCTTCCAGAACATCCTGGAACTGTCAGTTCACAAAAGCACACCTTGAACGAAGCTGTAGCGAATCGCGAGCTGTGAGCCATGAGCTCCTTCCGGAAGGACTGGTTTGAGACGAGAGGCACCGATTTCGGCACCTGACGTGGCCAGCCGTAACCAGTGCACAGAAACTAAACGACCGAAACAAACTTTCTCAGGTGCCTTGACCTTGCTGAGATCCTGGGAGACTGGCTTGAAAAAGTCCAAAACCTGTTCACAGCACCCTGCGCTGATCTCTGGGCTCTCACAACTGGAGCCTCCTGCTTTGGGATCTCATCACCAATGTGCAATATCGACCTCAGCCGGCTTCACGCACACCGACATGGGTGGCTGCGGTTGGGACAAGGCACAGACTTACGCTGTCCCTTGTACATGACCTGGCAATCTTCATGTGCTGAGAAAACACGAATAAGTCGCTTGCCACCACATCCGCAGTTAGACACACACCAGGCTCTCGGCAATTCGGAGTGGCGCCGCACCTGCTTCTTTTGGTTCCTCTTCGCCTGTCCGATGATCCGCTATCTCTTGCTTTCTTTCGCCAGGGTTATGGCATAGGGGAATGACCCCCTATACCGCAGCTATCTCTTGCTCTCTCTCTCTCTCTCGCAGGGCTCGCGAAAAACGAAGTTGAGCTCGTAGCCCGCTTTCGGAAGGGGCGGATCACCTAGCCAAGCGGTGAAAAACCATTCTTTGATCAGCTGCCGTTCGTGCCGTCGCGAGCCTTCTTTTCGAACGTTCTGGTAGTACCTGCAGATGCTACGAGCAGGAGGCTTAAATTCACATGTCATCTCTGGTTTAGGCAATTTGTTGATGTGAACACATTGCATAAGAGCTCCCACCTGGACAGTCTATCTGGCTGTATCCGATGAATGCTCCTCGGCTTCCTCGCTTGGGCTTGGACTTGCGTCCGCCTCGTTGTTTTCTGCTTCTGCACATTGTGTGTGCCACTTGCCCCTCTCGTTCACGCGGTCATTGCTTCTGATCTGCTCCTGTCGTCTGCAAGGCATTGGCCGGAATGCGTTTCGATGTTTCTGAGAAGGCGCTTTCCGACCCTTTTCAGAATGCCTTGGAGCCCATTGTCCTGACCTTCCAAATGCCGAAGCCACAACAGCCATGAGCGAGCAGCCCTGGATAGTGATCAGACAGAAGCTCGTGGGATGATGTGCTGGTGATCAAAGACTTGTGTTGCCTAGGGTGGTTGGCCCAACAGCAACGAGCGCCCTACCTTCAAATGCTGCAACCAGAGGAACACTGGCCTCCTTTGAGCGAGGTTTCTGACCCAAGGACAAGCAAGGGGCACTTGAGCTTCGGCAACGCGGCTTCATCAATGAGTGCTCGAACGACCCTCTGGATATCTCCGCCTCATGCAACAGACGGCACGAAAGACTTTTTGCAGCAGGGGTTGCTGCTCGGGACGTCACGGCGCTCCGTAAGATCGTCGGCCTTGCGATTCAAACACATCTCGTGCTAGCCACGAGCATTAAACAGCAACAAGAAGATTCGCCAGCCTTGTCTAGATAGAACACGAAGAGGTTGTCGTTCTCGTCAAAAACCTCGTAAAGCGTAACGGATGAAACCAGGTTCTCACCTATTCCCTGACACTCGGACCCGAAACCTCTGCAGACAATTCCTGCTTGTCCCGATTGCTTGTTCGGCGAGGGTGAGTGTGGAGGCGACATCGACAAATTGCACAAGAACAGCTGACAGGACTTGTGCGAATTCCAAGATGCGAAGGACGCTAGACCAACCCCAACAGGCCAGGCGTGTCGCCTAGGAGCCATGGCTCCTTATGACGAAAGCAGTGCAAAGACCGATCTGACAAAATGAATGGCCTTCAAGAATCTTAAGGCAGTGCAAAGGTCGGCTCTGAAAGGACTGCCGCTGCCAGCCCCAAAGCCACACATCGTCAGAAAACAGAAATGACATCCAAGCCTATGGATGCAAACCGCCCACATAACATACCCGAGAGAAGGCCATGGCTGCCATCCACCAAGTTGACAAATTGGAACTAAACCCGAAACAGAGCAGCCTACATGACCGACAGCCTGACCGAAACCCGGGAATAAGCGGAAACAAAAAAGCGGGAGTGAAAACTGGCAAGCCCCAGGCCCTAACACACAGTGGACGCGAGAGTGACAGCAGGCAGGTTCTGCACCCAGACGACATCAATGCTGTGATACAGTTAAAACCTGAAGTCGGAGGCACCCTGGAAAGGGCGACAGCTTTCCAATCTCGTGGCAGCGCGCAGCAACCCAACCAATAGCTTGTCAGGCTTCATGCCCAAACTCCCAAATAGTGACTGATTTCCAACCCTAAACCCCAGAGGGAGCAAGAGAAACAGGAAAGGAACACCGCACGGAAGACAGCTGCGAAGGAGCAAGAGGCGAGACTCTGGATTCTCAAAAAAGTGGGCAAGGCAAACCCAAAGACTAGATCCTGTAGAGAAGGACGCTTGGCACATCCTACCCGCGCAAACACAAACCAACCCGAAAACGAGCGATAGCTGGGAGAGCCTGATGTGAAAACCCCATTGCGTTGAGGCACCCCGTATTGATGGCTCGAAAATCATGCATGGCAAGGATCGACTTGACTTCCCAAGGACTGCTGGGACAGTGCACACCACCCGACCGAACCACGCCCTTGGACTCCGATTTTGAAGTTGACTCGCGAGAACATTGCCATGCAGTGACCAGCCCACCAGCCCGACCTCGTCAGTGATGGGCTTGATATCGATTTCGACGGTTTGTCCAGGCTTGCCCCATGCCTGACGATATTACACTTCTTAGACCTGTGGCCCGTTGCTGCTTGCAAATGTGTTCAAGCAAACCGCGAACCGTTCCACAAGCAGATTTTGGGACGCCAGGCCCACAAGCTGGCCAATACAACAGCCCCAGCGGCAGCACCGCCGCCTACCTGGCAGTGTCGTGCTTGGTGCATGCTTCATGCATCTTCATCCGGGACCCCCACAAGTGCAACTCGTGGCCAAGACGTGCTGGAGGAACTCCCCCCAAAAGACTCGCCCTTGGCGGGACATGGGAGTGGATCGTCTGCCAGCAACCTTCACTCTCTGCGATCCCGGCAAAGAAGCACCGCTGACTGGCCTGACAAACAAGCAGTCTCTTGCACTCTTTAACATAAGGCACAGGTGCCAACAGCCTCTCCTGAATGGGCCGACGCAGCTGACACAGCGGCCGGCGGATCCCTTGAGCACAGAAATTTCTGGAGATGAACAATCAGAGAACAACAGCTGTCAGGAGGCACACCTGCAGAAAGCAGAGCCGCCGCCATTTGTGGCGTTTAAGAAGACGCTCGAATGCTACAAGTGCACAGTTATGTCTTGGAGCTTACAAAAGTTCGGTTAACAGGTTATGGTCTAGAAGTGCTGTCTGTGTGGCCATGTACTTGAAATCTCCAGCGATCTTTCGGCGCAAAAGCACCAAGCGCGGCTGCAAGCCAAAGCACAACATGCACATATCTCCCATCTTCCGAAGTAAGTGTGGCAACGACCAACACTACAACCTGAAAATGGCACTGCCCGTCGCTGACTCTCTGGCAAGGGCTCTAGCACCTGATTGGCCAAGTTCCAAGTCTTGTTGTGCTTGAGATCCTAGCCGCTGGCCCACTGACGGCCACTGAAAGGCGGAAGCGGCTCGAAACTTGCAACAGGCAACAGAAGCTCTCCTCAGCATGCTGAGCTTCGTGAGCTGTCATGAGAACATCCAGCCTCAGGTAAAGAAGTGATTCTCGTGCTGCGAACTGTAGCGGCTGAAGCGTATTGCCACCTCTAAGATTGAGGCTGTGATTGGACGTGCTGCTTGCTCGTTCGAAACTCCGTATCTAGCTCGCGCATGCGATCTTCAAGGATCGCCGCCTCGGCATCACGGCTTCAGGCAGTGCGAGCAAAAGGTCCACGCCATGCAACAGTTCCACATGCTTTGGCATCTGTGCGCTGTCAGACTGGACAGGAAGTCGCGCACGAGAGTGTCGACGTCATTCAGCTTGTTCTTGCAGCGGGATACCAGACTCTCATGACGGCACCGTGTCCAAAGCAGATGCACAATAGACCCACCTGAAGGCTGTGTCTTCGACTGGTCACTGCAGCCTGCTCGGTGCCAACAATCCTCACCGTGGGCAGCGGCGGCCGAGCATATTTCTTCGAGTAAGGCACTCGAAATCTGAGGTCTGAGCTGCTCCATCTGTTCCAGTCTTGTTCGCATACTTTCTGTGCGTGCTACCAGTTCCTGGTCAAGGTTTGCGAGACGTGTTCGACAGCTTCAGGCTCCATGCGGCACAGTCCTGCACTTGCGAGTCATCTACAGCCTGTGTCGACAACAAGCACTCGTGCACTATGACGCACCTGCTTGGATGCCGAATCGAGTGCCTGCGGTCTGGCAGCCGGCGCCATGTAGAGACCAAGCATGTCGCTCAACCTCCAAAGCACGGCGTCCGTACCAAGGCGATGGTTCGGCAACAGCCACAGCGCTCACCGTCAGTCTGACGTACACGTCTGTTTAGTTGCTAGGACACTTCACCCTCATCAGAGGCATCTGAAACATGTGCCTTCTCTTCGGCCTCAGCTACATGCAATGTGTGGCTGCTCCAGAACCCAATTCTCACTAAGCCCTTGACTTCATGTCATCCGGCGATGCCACGACCTCGATGCTGCCAGGCATCAGCGATAGCCTAAAGAGGTATTGTGCTCCCGCACATCCTGCACACTCTTGCGAGCTCGGTGCCGATGGCTGTCGGGATGGTTGCCGTGACGGCTGCCGCGACTCCGGCACAGGCGATGGAGCCTCAGCAGGATACCGCCAGCCAAGGAGCTGCAGCTGGGCGCTGCTTGGAAACAAGGGGCATTCGTGTCTTCCGGCACGGTCTGGCAGGGGACGACGAGTGATTCAGAGCTTGCAGGCAACTTAAGTCTGCGTCCTCTCCCAGGTTGTCGACACCCAGACCTGTGGAGCAGGTAGGGCCAATACCGAGCATAAAACCACGGCAATACTGCCTTTCTTTTCAAGCCCCGCCTTCCTCTTCTTCGACGGCTTCGGTCCGCGACGGGGATGAGCGGTGCGGAGACACCGGGGACAAGCGATGGGCTCCTCACGAAACTGGTTCGTAAACAACTTGAGATTCAAGGTCCCATCTCGCTTTGATTTCCTGCAGCAGCCAACTCTTGCTGCCTGACCTGCAGCATTGCAGGTGCTGCATACCAGCATCCACCTTGCTTGCAACACGTGCCTCCAGATCCTCGATAGTCTGTACCTACAGCAAAACGGGGAAGACACGTCGCCTTCCCAAAATCCCCACAGTCGAAGGCCATGGCGGTTGCTATCAGGGATGACTGGAGGTTAGTGAGCTCGTTGCCTTCAACACTCAAGACATTTTGGTTACCTATGCTGGAAGCTGAAACTCTGCACAGGCTACTCGGCGCCCTACGCATATCTGGAACTTGCAGGCGAAGTCCCTGGCAGAGAAGAGAACAACTCTTCATGTCCAGAAGTGCGTCTCTCGTATCGCCTTCAGCTCACCGACAAGGTCCTCTGTAAGCTTCAGCCGCCTGCCGGGTGAGGGAGGGCGAGCATAGAGAATGCGTGTGCCAAGCTGTTGACGGCCTGGCCTAGCGAGGTCGTCTGTCACATCCCTCGAAAGAGCAGAGACTCTGAGTCTTCCCAAAGGGACTGTGCACTGAATGCCCTTTGGCCAAGGCTTCTGCTGGCCAGGCAAGGACTCTAGATGTGTGAGGGGGCCAAGGAGGCTTGACCTGATCAACTCCTGACACGTCCGACCAGACTTCTGCATTTACAAGCCGCGCGACAGCATGACATCATGTGGAGCACAACGCTTGTCCTCCACCTTCTTGTCTTGTGCAGCCAATGCTATAGCAAGCTCTATCGAGATGACGTTGGAGCATTCGTGCCTGCAAATGCTGTAGTGAACTGTGCCTCTGGAAACTTCAGGTGCTTCAGCCGTCTGAGACATGTCAATGCTGCATGGTGCCTGACCCTTTCCATCATCTCCGGTCCAAGAACAAACCTGTAAAGCTCTTCTTGCACGAACTGGGCCACATCCTGCGCCAAGGATTTCTTCTAAAAAGCGGCCCACTCCAGAACTGTTCAGTATCTCCAAATGGTGCATTCTGGTTTTGATGCTGTGTGGAAGTTAACGTCCTTCACGTTTGGCTGACGGCAGTTCAGGAATGTAAAACCCGACCACATCGCAAACGGGCTCCTCCAAACGGGCTTCAACGTCCTGCAGTGCAACAGTCCATAGGATTTCAGAAAGAAAGCACCAGCCAAGCAGGCTATTGTCGTCCAGCATGTGGGTTCTCGACTGTTCGTCGCGGGTGGCCTGTGCCAAGACCTGCTGAATGCGCTCTTCCAGGCGATCTGCCAAGCGTTCCTCTGGCAATGTTGGAATGATGGGTCTTCAATCCTGAGCTCATGTCGGTTCAAGTCAACCCCGACTCCTCTGTGACAACGTTGGCCGCCATTGCTTCGTCGACCCGGAGCGCACCAGTGATTGAAGACCGCCGACGACCGCCTCACATGTTTATTCAGCTGAACAGGCACACGATCATCCGATGTAAGACTTCACGCGCAGCGTGCACGAAGGCCTGATGCAAAGGACATCCGCCGACCCTCGGCAATTCAATTCATGATGGGACTAGGCTAGGCAGTCATGAGATGGACTGGTTACCGGTTTTCAACTCTCACATGGAAGCCAGGGAGCTTCTGCAGAAGCAGCGCTGCCGGTGACACGGTCATCGGGGCTCTGCGATGCACGGCCCTCTCCGCTCGCTTCGGCTTCAGCGGTGGCAGCATCAACGGGCTCCGCAGACTCTGCCGGCTCCGCGGGCTCCGCGGCTTCCGCAGGCTCCAGGGGGTCTGCGGAGCCGACGGCAGGCTCCGCAGGCTCTCCGTCCAAGCCCAGGCTTTCCAACGGAAGATCCAAGTTCTCTTCGATCTGGGTCTTGTCGCGCTCCTCGTGGTGCACTGGGCTACCTGCCAGGCTTGCCTGGCAGCTGCGTCGGTCTCAAGCTACTGGTATTTGCTCGAACATTACATGCACAGCCCACCTGCGACAGAGCTGCACCACCATCGTTCCTCGAGGGAGGGCACTTGCTGGGCTCACACAGCTTCCCAAAAAATTACCATGCAGGCACGTGCTCGTGTTGATACTTCAGCCCCAGGCGATACGAAGCTTTCGCGGCTAAGCCCACGAGATCCCACCCCACCAGAGGGCCTTGGTGAGATTTGATGGACCAGTGGGCTCCACTGCATCTTTGAGAAACTGGCCACTTTCGCGTGGCTGAAGACTTGAAAATCTTCCGATCCTGCATGCTGCTGTCAACAAAGCGTTTCTCACTGGCTGGTGGCCATCAGCAAGCCTCCGACAGCAACTTCAGCTGGTCGGCAAGTTGGCGTGACCTCGGTCGCTCGGGCCGACAAAGATGTCTCGGTAAATACACAAGAAACATCGAGAAACCCAACATATGTTGTTGCAAGCGCGAGCGAGTTGCAGTGATGAGATTCGGCCTTCATGCTCTTGCACCGTCCTGATGAACTGACGAGCATGGAACAGCTTCGTTCGACGACAGTAGACGATAGGCGTTTCACAAGCCGTCCTCACGATCCAAAACACCAGCTCAGTTTGTTGCCTTGCTGCGTCCAACAAGGCCTTGTGCAACACGTTCAGGCTGCTGAGTCTGCAACGTAACATTAAACCATAGTGGAAGCTCAGAACATGGCCGGAAATCCACCAGGTGTCACAGGAAGGCTCGGGATGGTTCCCGATCCTGCACCTGGTCAACCGAATACAGCACGAATTGGAACCCAGCGCGACGTGAGGATCTGACCACTCATAGGAAGGCCACCAAGGACGCCGAAGCCCTCCATTGTCGGAGTCGCCATCGCACATACACGTCGTCAAAACATGTGTTTTTACAAGGTACATGAGCGAAGCTGAAACCTGAAATTGGGCTTCATGATGACATGCTGTTAGGTACCAACATGCCATCGTTGTGGTATGCTTCCAAAACCCGTCGTTGCCGATGCCCCAGGATGGTGCTTCGGCTGGTGCGAGTTTCTGCCCATTCCGACAGCACTGGAACAATTCAAACGCACTTGTTTATGGATGCTCATGGCCTTCGCAACGACACGTTGTAGAACAACACACGTGCTGTTTGCTTCCGACGATTATGTCATTATGTCTGTCTAGGCAAGAAATTTCGTCAGTTTACGAGCCTTACACGCAACTCAACCATCTTCCACGAAACACTTCTGCGGAGACACTAAAAGAAACAGTCGCAATTCTTGTCGTACATGCGGTCATTTGAATATGTCAGTAATCTCGAAATATCTGTGTCAATCAACGTTGGATTTGGTTGAGTCGTGGTCATCAAGTTTTCGAACAGGAGGTAGGTGACCTCCGTCGTTCCGCAGTTAGTTCGTTCCACCGCTCGGTGAGCCCTGTCGCATCTCACGTGTGCGTTGCAAATGAAAACCAGGTATGGAGTATCCATTTTAACATCTAACTGAATGATGTTTTCTGTTTTCGCATTGACGTATGGTGCCCGTTTACGATCAACCAAAACTTTGTGATCGAAGCATTGCATACACAGCAAACAACGGTCTCGATTTGGCTGGAATGGTACGGCCGGCCAATCCCTGTATACAGGACGCTATTTGGAGCTTTGTGGTAGCGGCTCTGCACTCGGTTCGAAGCAAGTCATCGAAACTTCATAACAAAGGCGCAACAAACTAGAATTTGTAGAAGGCACTTCAAAGAAGTTGAAAAAAGGATATCTCGGCTCAGTGGTCGAATAGTTCACTGCCCTTTTCGTCTCTTTCTCCCTCTGCCTGCCCCTTACGCTCTCTCCCACGGCTCTCCAAACACAAAAAAAAAGGAAAGCTGCACCAGAACGCTTTAGGGAGCTTTGAGGTAAAAACCGAAGAAAAAAAGATAAGAAGAAAATAAAAACAAACAAAATGTCCTGAGACTTTATTCTGTCTCCGCTGACTGTACATTTCGTGTCGAAGTAGATACTTGCTGGTGACGGTATTCTTGCACCGGATGTTGGATAGGGCGGTGCCGAAGCAGCTAGGCTGCCGGTCCTGTTCGCACGTCACCGGTGGAAACCAACGAGCTCTATGCTGTTGCTTTCGCTGCTCTCCGCAAGAAGGCCGCAACTTGGCACAGGGAGACATTGGCCACTTCCGTTCCGGCTGATGCGTATCTGACTGACACATGCATATTTAAGCTACGTCTGCAGTCGACAGACGAGAGCTTCCACACCCAACTCAAATTCACGCAGCGTGGTTTCCAGGGCTCGCAAGGATGACCAAACAAGTTTTCTCTGCTGCTCAACACGTGCAAGGTTTGGAGCACTTCTTCCGCAACCTGTCCAAAAAAACCGTGCGACGATCTACCAATTACCTAAATTTTGCCCTAAAGTAAAAAAACACCAGAACGGCCAACAGCACAAGTTTACATAGGGAATGCACAGGAAAATCACGAAACAGCACAAACAAAGCATAAGGATTGCACAAGGAAAACAGGACACAGCAGAAACAATGCATAGGTAAATCTTGTCACAGTGGGTGTTTTTCGTCTTTTTGTGAGCCAAATTGATTTGCATGCGATTTTACATGTGGGAAAGCTATGCTTTTGTTGTATCTGCACAATAGAAATCGTCTTACATCCGTTCGTTTCCGAGGGACCTATAGGAGCCTCAGGGGCCTCACTAAACAGCAAACAGCCGCAGCGGGCACGCTCCACACTTTTCACTCTGCTGTTCTTCAGCAGTCAGTCTTGAGCCAAGCCGGG